ATATGTGGATGCTGATTCACAGTGTGTGCATGTTGGGGTGGAGAACATAAGTTCATTGGATTAAACAAAGGAGAATGAAGGGAAGGGAGGGAGGATGGGCATAGGAAAGACAGTAGAAGAAACTGGCACATAACTTTCCCATGTTAGTATATGATTACATGACAAGTCAAATTCTACATCATATATAACCCCCACAAGAATGGAATACTAATTAGAATGTTATATTCCATGTATGTTTAATATATGTAAAAATATACTCTACTGTCATGTATAACTAAAAAGAACAAATTTTTAAAATATGGAAAAAAATTTAAAAAAAATAAAATATGGAAAAAAAAGAAATTTTATGGCCATGCCTGGTGGGGCACATCTATAATTCCAACAACTCAGGAGGCTGAGGCAAAAGGACCACAGGTTCAAGGCCAGCCTCGGTAACTTACTGAGGACCTCAGCAATTTAGCCAGACTCTGTCTTAAATAAAAAATAAAGGGGGCTTGGGGTGTCGTTCAGTGGTTAACTACCCCTGTGTTCAATTCCTGATTTTTTTAATAAAATAGAGTTATAATTGGTCCAGATAGACAATTTACTACCAACCCACAGCAATTGATCAAAATCTATTTCTGGGAAAAAATTTTATGAGCAGAGAGGCAAGATGTACTGTGCCTGAATCAAGAAAGATGACCAACATAGCTTAATTTGCTCTGATAAAAAAAAAATGGTACAGAAACCAACAGACCATGTCACAACAAGGAATATATTTTGTGTCCTAGGGAGATTTAGAGATAAGATGTGCCCTACTTTGCTCATGATAGGGCTGCTCCTCAATAATACATTGATTTATTGACATGGAGATGATATCTTTTCTGCCTATGCAATCAAAAAATAATGTCAATCCAAAAGCAGAATCTGCAGGACTATAAAGGCTACAATATTCTTTCCATAGAAATCGTGTACAAACCAGTAACATCCACTTTAGGATGCATTTCTGTTAAAGGTGTTTGCTACTCTGAAACCTTGTCAGTGTACTCACAATGGCCTTAACTAAGGATTCATCTTTTTTTAAAAAAAAATGAAAAAGTTGTTGCTCTGCTCTTCTTGCTGGATTTTTATTTTCTTCATAAAGATAAAATGGAACATTATTTGTTGTTTGTCTTTTGGTACTAGGGATTAAACCCCGGGGCACTCCACTACTGAGCCACATCCCCAACCCTTATTTTTATTTTGTATTTGAAGACTGTGTCTTGCTAAGTTGCCAAATCTGGACTCAAACTTTCTGTCCTTCTACTTCAGGCTCCCAAGGCACTGGGATTAGAGGTGTACACTACCACATCCAGCAAATTGAACTATTAAAAAGAATATTTTTCAAAATTATTCAAGCAAGAGTCATTTATAACATTTAATTTGTTTTATTTGTTTTACTAATCGGTCTCCCTTAGTTTCTTTCACTTCTATATTCTTTGTTATATTTGTTCTCTATTGCTGTGTAACAGATTACCTCGAATTCAGTAGCGGAAAACAACACGTTTTACCTCACAGGGTTTCTGAGGATCAAGAGTCCAGTAATAGCTTAGACCAGTGATTGTGGCTAAGGATCTTTACAGTGAAGAGGAAGTCTGGGGCTGCCAATGTCTGAAGGCAGAACTAAGACCAGAGGATCTGCTTCAGTGCTTACTAATATGTTCTTGGCAGGAGGCTTCACCCAGTTCTTCACCAGCTGTCAGAAATTTCAGTTACTTACCACATAGTTCTCTCCATAGAGCTACTTACAAGGCTAGTAAGCTTTTCCCAGAGCAAATTATATAAGAGAAAACAAGATAAGAGGCCACAGCACCTTTTATAACCTAACCTCAAAACATATTCTATTGGTCATACAGACCAACCCACCTATGAGGCGGGAGGGAACTATACAGGCTGTGAGTGCCAGGAGGAAGGGATTATTGGAGTCCATCTCAGAGGCTGGCTCTGTGATAGATATGATTTACCCATAATGGAGACCTGAGGGGGAGGTATATACGCAGTTTACAAAATATAATGGCAAGATAATAAAATTATTTAATGTTTTAATGTTCTTGTTACATTATTCATTCTCTTTAACCCCATTATTATCAGAGTTTGGTAACCTTACTAGAATTTTGATAATTGGCATAGCATTTGTGATAATTGGTATAGAAATTTTGATAACTGTTATAGCATTAATGCTTTTTTAAACTAAAAAGCATTAATCAAAATGTGTATTGAACAACAAACAGTTTAGAAGTGCAAAATTACTTTCTTCCTCATGATATCAAATTAAAATTAAAATAAGATGGGCAATCTATTTCTTTTAATCCAAGTTACTTCTTAAAACTTTTTGGCATATATGAAGGTGCCTAAAGCATCTTTAGAGTCTGTCAATTATTTGCTTATGTTAAAAGACAAGTAGAAACTGGTTTTATAGCAGAGAATATTCATATAGATTAAACATTGAGAAAATATGCGTAGGCATTAATATCTAAGATTACTTGTCATTTATAACTCCAAACTCATGTTACCACAAACCAGAATATTGTGTTTCTTTATCAGTGAGGTCAATAAAGTTATGTTTTGACAAAGTCTTCCATCATTGATATTATAATGCACTATTTAAATTTTATTTCTTATAAGATGCTAACCATTCTGTACATGTTGGGGTCATCCAAAAATGTAGAATCACAGCATTTTAGATCTGGAAAGATCTTTAGATTTTTTTTATGTTAAGAGCATTCTTCTTTTTTGTAAAGGTTGGGAAATATTATAATCAGTGGTGCTGCCTTCTCAGTTCCCTGTTTGTCTTTAAAAATCTAACTATAATTAAGGACCCAGTAATACCATAGAGCAGTAAATCATGGTAATTATTCTCTGTATATCATTTCCAGAAAATACCAATATCAGTTGATACACAATGGTTTCAAGTGTTAGAAGAATGGAAATCAAAGACAGACTTGGGGCAGACTATGTCCTTTTGAGAATCTCTTGCCTTTTCCACACAAGTAGACACACTTGCATTGTATGGCAATGATCAGTCAGTAGTCTTTCTCTGTATTTAACTTTCTTCTTAAAAATAAACCTGAGATATTTTTTAAATGATCAAGGTGGAACATAGCATTCATTACAAATATAGCACATGCAAACACACAAGAACACACCTCAAACCTAGATTAAAGAATTTATTTTGCTTAGAATCGAGGTTATATTACAACGTTTAATTCTAAAACAAATGATTTTTTTCTTTCTTTTTGTTTGGCTTGTGATAATACAATGTATCACATAGAGCTAATTTTAGCGGAGGATTACCCTAAGCATTAAGCTAATTCCTTTCTCTGACATTAGTCCCAGCTAATTTACACAAGAATTATGGGACTTAGCCAAGAATGAGCCAGCTTTCAGTGACTGAGCTAAATTTTATTTCCTAGGTTTGATTTGCAATATCAAAATTTGATATTTTCCAAGCTCATTGACTGGAATATGCATATTTATGATAGGATAAGTTCTTCAATAAAATCTGATTGGTACTTGGTAATCTTTCCAATATTTTAAATTAATGTTTCGATTCCTTACATGTTACCACTAAACTTTTTAATTTTCTTTAAATCAAGGACCATCTTTGGGCTGGGGTTGTATGGCTCAATGCAAAGCACTTGCCACTTGCCCAGCATGTTTGAAGTCCTAGGTTTGATCCTCAGCACCAATAAAAATAATAAGTTAAAAAAAAAATCCTCCACTTTCCTTCTCTACTTTCGTGGTAGTTTTTCAATTATTTATCATTTCTGTCAAAGGATTTTCACAAATTAATGCTTTAAAATAGTTTTCTTAGAGCATAGTTATGTTTTTTTGTTTGTTTTTGGTACTGGCGATCAAACCCAGGAGTGCTTTGCTACTGAGCTACACCTCCAGTCTTTTTATTTTTTAATTTGAGATAGGATCTCCCAAAGTTGCACAGGCTGGCCTTGAACTTGAGATCCTCCTGCCATAGGCTCCTGAATCCCTGGGATTACAGCACCCAGCCATTGGCTCCTCTTGTGTTGCTTTATTATATACTTTGGTAAAACCACATCAACTCCAACCTCCTAGCTCTGACTTTTCAGGAGCATCTATCCTAAATTTTATTTCCTTTTTAGTATAATAACATATTTTAAAACAAATTTTATTTCAATAAAATTTCAGTTGTAAGAATATAAAGAAAAATTTGTCAGGCTTCTCAATAACATCTGAATCTGAATAGCTCCCATGTAAGATTCACAACAGTTAATACACTTTTCTATTTTGTTCTTCAAAACAGGCCTCCCGCCTGTGAGGTGGATAGGCAATTATTATCCCCATTTCACAGAAGAGAAGACTATGAGCTCCTTCAGTTTGTGGAGCATGAGCAGAGTCATAGGTGGAAACCGGGGAGGCTTGTGTGCAGTGTACAGCCTTCTGCACAGATCCCTAGATTGTATGTCTGTCTCTAAATAGAGCTTTTGTTGTTGTTGTCTCCTGGTGCATAACAAACTACCCCAAAACTGACTTCAAATAATCATTTTGTTATTTCTCACAAATCTGGGGGTCAATTGGGACTCCTCTGGACCGTTTCTTTGTTGGTCTCATTTGGGTCCTCACGCAGTTTCAGTGTGTGACAGAACTTCATTCTGTTTCCTTACTTGGAAGGCTGGGCTCAGCTGTAACATGGAACATCTTGACCTCTCCTTCACGTGACCTCTTGACATGATCTCTCCAACAGGTTAGCTGTTGTTTCACATGGCAACTCAAGGCTTTCAAAAAGGGCAAAGTGCAAGGTTCCAGGCTGCCTTACAGTTTCCACCCAGAGTTGCTTCAGCCACATGCTTTTGGTTGAAGTGCACCACAGAGTCAGATCAGGTTCAGACTGGAAGAAAATACACAGGGAATGAGGAGTGGAAGACCCCACTCAGGGCCATCTTCAGAGACCAGCTACTACAAGTCTAAGTGTTCCTTTTCCTGCACTAAGACCTCAATTCCTCTCTACTCCTTTTTCAGTTCCCTGTGTCTCTGGCAGTTTGCCTAAACCTACAAATATCACCTTCTTATCTGTAAACATGAAGAACGTCCTACAGTGGAATCCACCAGAAGATCTGCAAGGCATTGAAGTTAGGTACACTGTGCAGTACTTCATGTAAGTTGGTCCTTTTCCTCTGGCTAGTCTTAAACTCAAGACTCAGACTCCTGTTAATTGTACAAAGATAAACAATCTGTGATATTAGTTTTTTGGAAAAGACAAGTTTTTGATATTCCATGGTTTCATGATATGTTTTGCTATATCAAATTAGAAAGTAGTTTTTTACAGAGACAGAAGCATTGGATGCTCAGGCAAGGGGCATTTATTTAAATGGAGAAAATTAGTTGGTCAAATAGGATTCTCTGGCTAAGCAAGCAAGGCAGTAGCTCATCTCTGAAATTTATAAAGGTACTGGAATGATAGGCTTAGACCTAATGAAATCATAGACTTAGACTTAATGAAACTAAATCCAAATTCTGTGCAACCAGCTATTGATATTAAACATAGTGGTGAGTAGATAATTTTGCTTTCCACCTCTCCTTTAAAACTCATTGCAAACACAAAAGAATACCCAATAGAGAGGCACCTGTATCCTCATCGTGCGTGACCAAGGAAATGGCCACCACCCCAGACCACAAACCATAAAGTTACTACTTTAGTAAAACCTTATGAATGGTAGAATCTAATTTCTGTTTGTTCAAATATCTAATCATCCTTCTGTTTATATTTAGCCCAACTAGATATCCAGAATCATGTACACCAAATGTCTTAGGATAATGGTTTTCTGGGTGGTTTGTTCCTCTCTTGATTATACTTTTCTGATTTTTTTGATCATTTGAATTTTTATAACGTGTCACATTTACAAAAAGAAGTCATTTTCATCTTTGAATAAAAAAATATTCTGACCACCAAAATCAGTTAAAGACTTCAGCAGGTATTCACATTGACTTCATTTATCTAGAATCCCAATCTCCACCTCATTTATCTAGAACCCAAGTCTCAGTCTGTGAAATGTTTAGTTTCATTCTGTGGAGTATTAGGAAAGAGGAAGAGACGCCAACTTCACAAAGAGAAATAGCTCATGAGCATGCTCTTGCTTTTTTTTCCATTAGGTGGAGCAAAGAGCTTGCTCTGTCTCTTATATTTTTATGTGTTTCAAAGAAAGGACTTTAAAAATAGGCAGGCTCATTACTGCTCTTATGAGCGCAGATAATTTACATTGTGCAACTTTTAAGAAGACTTAAATAGAAGCTTGCCGGTTCAGAGTTCTGACATGCCCATGCAGGTGGAAGATGGACAGGAATACTGAGTAGATTTTGCACTACTTGAATACAGAGCTGATGCAGAATCAGTCTCCAGTTCATGGCCAGGCTGTGAACCTAGCTGGATAACCTTCAGCGGGTTACTACCTTTGATACTTTTGAGTGAACTTTGTTTATAAGGTAAAATGTTAACAAAAATACAAACAATATCCACCAAAAGAATTGAATGCTGAAAATAGAGTGTCACACTAAAATCACAAAATTTGACATCATGGAAAAGTGGTTCAAATCTCAGATGTTCCTTTTAATTAGTCATGTGAACTTAAACAGATCCCTTAATCTAATCTTGCTGAGTTTCAATTCCTTTACCTGTAAAGTGGCATAAAACTAATCACACCTGCCTCTTAAGGTTGTTACTGTGATTCAAAGAGATGAGGTGTTTGAATCCTGAGCATGAGTCTGTGCACAGAAGAGGCTCTTGGTGGATGCTTCTAGTTATTACTAAAAACAGTCTGAAAACACTAAGGGCTCCCATGACTTTTTACCATGGATAAATATCATTACTAGAATATTTGTTGAATAATTAATTTTACATCTTTCATTGAGAATCCAGTGAAGCATATTTTCAGAATCTGTCATGGGAAGATATCCTACCCTTGGCAGAGTGAAGAGGTGCAGGAGGGAGGGTTGAATAGGCAAAGCCAATATTTTTCAAACCTCAAGTCAAAACCCTTTAGTGGGTCAAGAAATCAATTTTGGGCCACATAACTAGCATTACATGTAATGGAACAGAACGAAATGGTGTGATGTGGTGGCATGGGATGGAAAAGAATTTGAATGCATGGTATGTAGTGCAGTTTGGGTATTATCCTATAAAACTTTCATTTTCATATGTTAGATACGATTGCTTTATGATCTGGATCACAATGTAAAATATATCTTGAAAGAGGATCATAGTCAAAAATGTTTGAGAGTCCCTAGGCAGTTTTGATCACTTAGGTGGAGAAGTTGGCTCACAAGATCTGACAGTATTTGTAATACCTTTTGGCAGGTATGGTACTCATGAAGTGAGAAATGTTGGCTTTCAGAAATCTATTGCCACATTCTGTAAAGGAAAGGCATCCTTAAGCCTTGGAAATACTTGATAAAGTTGCCAGATCCTCCTTATCAAGACACGCTCTTACCTTGACTTTTGTGGTATCTGTCTTTCCTCCTCCCTCTTTAGCTATTATATCCAAGTTGATTTTGTATCCATCCTTCAAATCTCTATGCTCCTGAAGTTTTCCACTAGACTATGCTTTGCATTCATGGATGAGTTCATTCGCGCCTACTCCCTCAATGAGCAGATGTCTGCCATTAATTCCAAATCCTCTCCCTCCCTCTACACCTCTCTCCTGAACCACATTGCCTCCCTGGCATCTGCACTTAGATAGCTCTTACATAATTCAAGCTCAACGTGTCAACACTGAACTCACTATCTTTCCCTCTTTCTAGCCCTGCCATCCCCATTTCCCAAGCCTGCCCTTTTTTAATGTTCCTTGTCATGGTTAATGTTACCACTATTCTGCCGCAGTCTGGCTGGGCACAAATCAGGAGCCACTGAAGCAGGAACAAACTTTATTTTTGAACTGCAGGAAAACACTTCACACAGCTCCTGGGGAATCCTCCCGAACGCCATGCGGCTGGTCCAGGAACCCCCAGCCGGCAATATCTCTCCCGGAAATCCCTCCTCCTGCACTTCCCCAACCAATGGGAACTCTGGGGGAATCCCCAGAAATCCCCACGAGAACTCCAAAATAGTGTGAGAACTCAAAGGTTGCGGCAGAGGCGGATAGTAATGCCTCACCTGTCAATCAATACTGTTGGCAAAATGCCAGGGGCCATACAGACTCTGCCATGGCTCTCAGCACTATTCCATCCATCCCATCTTTGATCTCACATGCACTCAATCACCAAGTCCTGTCTCCTCTTATTCCTTGCTGTCATTTTGTCCTCACTCATTCCATGGTCACCATCTTATCCAAGGCATCTGCGTCTTCCACCTCGATGACTGCAGTATCCCCTCAACTGCTCCCAGGATGCCACTCCTAACCCATTACATTCTCCACATCACAAAGCAGATTTGCTTTCTAAACCATGCCTCTCTCCTGTCCTCACCTTTAATCTCTTTAGTAGCCTCCCATGCATCCCTATACTGGCTCATCACATTTTACTTAAACCCTTTATACTTCAGTCTCTCCCCCCAAAAAAGTGCTAAAAATATTTCCCCTACCCTATTTTTATGAATGTTGTGTATTTTTAATAAAGGAAAAGAAAACCAAAATGAACAACCCTAGTCAGTATCATCATCACCATCATCATCATCATCATTATTGAAAATTCAGTTTTTGGTACACACTCCAACCTAGTGAGTTTTCACCAACACTCTGGATGACTAAAAGATTTTTAAATTTTATGAGAATGTCATGGTAATTTTTCTTCCAAGAAAAAAAAATGACTAACTTTTCTTAGAATAACCCATCAAACTGACCTCATCTACAGAGTGGACTAAAACCTTAGATAATAACTAGAAGAATTGATCACATAATATGTAAGTTTTACTGTAGGTGAAGAATAAAAATAAAATACATGCTTTCAAAATGTACTATCCACATTATAATTCACAGAAAAGAAAGGTGATTACAGAAACTCTGACTCATGTTCCTGACAGCTAATGAAAAAATTGCCAGCAGCAAAAGTGGATTCTTTTTTATCTCAATGACAGGCACTTTTGTTTATCTGAAGAGAAGGTCTTCCATTCAATTTTATATAATGGCTGTTCTTTTTTTTTTTCCTTTTGTAATTGTAAAACATAGAGGGTACCTCATTATTAATTCATAGTTTCCCTCTTAGCAGATATGGGCAAAAGAAATGGCTGAATAAATCCGAATGTAGAAATATCAATAGAACCTACTGTGATCTTTCCGCTGAAACTTCTGACTATGAACACCAATATTATGCCAAAGTTAAGGCCATTTGGGAAACAAATTGTTCTAAATGGACTGAAACTGGACGATTCTATCCTTTTTTAGAAAGTAAGTAATGCAATCATTGGTCAAACATGCATTAATATCCCATTATTCTGCCCTCCTGGTTTGACTTCTCAGCCCCATAGACAATCTTACCACAGAGAAAAGGGCTCTGCTTGGTCCTATTCTGCCCCAGCAGGTTGAGTGACCAGGCCAAGGTACTTACCTTGCCAAACCAAAATTAAGGCAGGTGCTAATAATATTGAATTTGATTTTGTTTTATCATTTGGTGGAAGCTATAAAATTTGAGAAACAACCAACAGATTTTTTTTTTTTCTTTTTGAACCAGGGATTGAACTCAGGGGCACTCAACCACTGAGTCACTTCCCCAACACTCTTTAATATTTTATTTAGAGACAGGGTCTTCCTGAGTTGCTTAGTGCCTTGCCTTTACTGAGGCTGGCTTTGAATTCTCCATCCTCCTGCCTCAGACTCTTGAGCTGCTGGGATTACAGGCATGCACCACTGCGCCTGGTCAACAGATTCTTTTTAATGTTGTAAATTAATGCAATCCAGGAGATTGTCCTTTTTGTCCTGATCACTCAACTAAGTCTCTCCTTGTCATAAACTTGGTAGTGTGGTGATGTCACTTCAAGGTGTGACTCAGAATGAAGGCAACATCTTCTTGGTATTTGCTTTTATAGTTTGCTTTCTTGTGATCTGTGGCTGACTCAGCCATGAAGAACTAACATGGGGCCACCATGATGAATCCTGCAAGGTCTCCAGAGGCTCCCAGAGCTGGTGCCATTCCCAGTGCTCTGCAAATCAGAGGTTGGCAAACTAAAGCCCTCAGGCCAGATCCAGCTCCTTCTTTCTATTCTTCTCCAGGTTCTAAGAATGGTGCTTATATTTTTCAATAGTTTTTAAAAATCTAAAGAAATCCAGAAGACAGAATGAGGTAGCCCATACCTGGAATTCCAGTGACTTGGGAGGATGAGGCAGGAGGATTTCAAGTAGAAGGCCAGCCCCTGCAACTTAGCAAGGCCCCGTCTCAAAATAATCAATAAAAAGAACTCGGGATGTGGCTCAATGGTAGAGTATCCCTGGGTTCAACCCCCAGAACTGGGGAAAAAAATCAAAAGAAGAATATGTGTGACACAAACCATGTTCATTTGCTTATGTAGTTATCTATGACTACTTTTGTGCTAGAGTAGAATTGTTGCAACAGAAGCCCATGGCCCACAGGGTCTTAAGTGTCCTTTCTGGACCTTTTTGATAAAAGTTCACTGATCTCTGAGATCATTCTAATTGTTATCTCTGATTTTTCCACTTATTGAATCATATTAATATTATTTATCACCATTTTTTAAGTCACAGCAATGTTACAAAAACTTTTGGTTCTATTTACCATTATCAAGTACTGTTTATCCCTGTGCCTTGGAACTAAGTAAATACAGTGCCCCAAATTTGCTCTTTTAACTTTGTGTCAAGGTATATGAAATGACTGTTTCAAGATCTGGTGTACCTGGAGCTCTACTTAGCATGTTTTGTGGCATTTATAGTAGATATTTTAGGTCTTTGATGAAAGTAGGATTATATTATAGCTTTAATAATAAGGTGATTTTTTTTTTTTTACATAATGCCCTCCCTACTCCCCTTTAAGCACAAATTGGCCCACCGGAGGTTACCCTGACCACTGACGAAAAGTCCATTTCTATTGTCCTGACGGCTCCAGAGAAGTGGAAGAGAAATCCAGAAGACAGAACAGTTACCATGCAACAAATATACTCCAATCTGAAGTACAACGTGTCCGTGTATAACACCAAATCAAAAAGAATGGTAAGCCTGAAATGGAATGGGGCACATAGTCCACGTACCACTTTCTGTCACTCAAGTGGAACAAGCAGCTCTAATCCTTTCTCTCTGTGTGAGAATAAGGGAAACGTGCTCTTGAAGAGATGTCCCAGAGCCTAAAGCAGGAGGATCACAAGTTCAAAGCCAGCCTCAGCAATTTAACAAGGCCATAAGCAACTCTGAGATCTTGTCTCTAAATAAAATATAAAAAGGGCTGAGGATGTGGCTTAGTAGTTAAGCGCCCCTGGGTTCAATCCCCAGTACCAAAAAGAAAAAGATGTGTGATATGAGAGACAGCTGAAGCTCATTTGTAGAAAATTTACAGAGCTGAACTAAGATGTTCCTCCTAGAAGCTCTATTAACAGTGCCTGATGCTATTGTTGGAGTATAGAGCAATTGTGTGCTTCCCTTGATGAAGAGCCTTTACTTGCATGTCACCTGTCAGTCACTCTAAGGATTAAAAAAAAAAAAGTCAGCAAGAACACAGGACAGAGTTGAGTAAGAAATCCACAGCCCTATGTTATTACTTAGAATTGTTCCTAGAATTGGTCCATGCTTTGCTGAGCTATAAATAAATAAACAAACAAACGAATAAATAAATAAATAAATGGATATTTTTAAATTCTTCCTGAAAAAGTAAAAACTTGTAGTGATACTCATGGGTCAAATGACAGCTCAGTCTTCTATTTCCTTCTGGAGTTGACTTTAACTGCTGTTTGCAATTCCCTGCCCTAGTGGTCCCAGTGTGTCACCAACCACACGCTGGTGCTCAGCTGGTTGGAGCCTAACACTCTGTACTGTGTCCACGTGGAATCCTTTGTCCCAGGGCCCCCTCGCCACATGCGACCTTCTCAGAAGCAGTGTGTCAGTACTTTGGAAGGTAAGCTTCAAAAAAAAATCTCAGCTAATTTGAGGAAGGAAATCTGATAAGGCTAGAAGGAAGTATAGCAGTTTAAACAAGATTCTTTTTTAAAAAAAACCTTTTTATTATTTTATTTTATGTTTATTTATTTATTTATTTATGTTTAGTTTATTTTATGTTCACTAATTCTAATACAAAATGAAATAAGGTTACATTTCACTTTGTCCTTTATTTAATTACTTTTTGTTCTAGAAAGGATTGATAGTGATTTAAAGTATATATACTAGAATAAGGTAATATAAATTAAAGGTAAACAAACCAAAAAGAAAAATGGGCAAGTTCATAGAAATTGATCCATGAAAGAAGCCAATCTAGAAAAGCAGTGTAAGAGGATCTTTATGGTTGCTACTAGTAATCTTTAAATTGTTTCCAAGTTTTTCAGCAGACCAGATAGAAAGAGACACATAACCAGTTGCACAATCACTATCCATGGGACTCCAATTAAACCAGTTGCTTAATAACAATCTCGTTTTTCCTGATACTAACATAGACTAGTTCTTCCAAAAAATAAAAATAAAACAGAGTATTTGGTAATGAATAAAAGAGCAGTTATCTTTCCTCTTCTACTGCTACTGTTAGACTAAAAAGCCTTTGAAACATCAAATCATAAACTCTTCCCAGCCTAGGGAAGATAAGAGCCACCAAATAAAAACTCTGAGGGGAGACATGGGAAGAAGGGATGCATTCACAACTGTGGGCAAAATGGGACGGCTGACTGCTATTTTAAGCTCTTATGACTAAGATATTTATTAGCTGGTTCCAGGTGATAATAATCATTAATCCTAACTAACAACTAGAAGACTTTGTTCTGCAAATTAATTGGAGATGATAAATTATCAGGTTTTCTTGATTTGAGTTTAGACAAGAGGCTGACGAATCCATGCCCAAGAAAGGCAGGTGGAGGCAAAGGCAGAAACTTCTATCACCTGAAATGAATTAAACTGCTTGCCAATGTTAAGGAATGTTGTCACCACCTCCAGGAGCCCTAAGCACAGGATCCAGGGTCCACTGCCAACAACCCTCCCTGGTCACACAGCTTCCTGCTTAGGAAATAACCTTAAGAATGTTCACACACATCCTTTTTCTTCTTTAAAGTCATAATCACTCTGATCAATAGAAGTTCAAGAGTCTTAGAAGTTCAACAGAAGTCTTCAAGAGCATCAGATAATTTTATTGCAAGAAACAAAGCACTGTCCTGAAAAATTCTTTAAAAACAGAATTGTTCTTGCTCTCCCTTGGGAATTCAAATTACAGGCTTCTCATGTTGTGCTCCAATACAACTTAGCTGCACGAGGGGATGGAATCAGCAAATCAGTAATTACTCCCCTGGTGTTAGAGTTGGCTTCTCTCTCTCCTTTGTCTCTTTCTCACATTTTCTGAGTGGGTCTGCTGAGGAGCTCTGGTTGAAGGTATTTGCTCCTATTAGTAGATTTGGTGTTCTGAGCATGGCATTTCTTTAATCTTTCTGCTCCCAGGTTGACAGGAGCATCACCTCAAACCTGAATAAATCCTAAAGCTGCATGGAATGCCTCTTTATGCATAATTCTTCACTTCTCCCTTCCAACAAACACACTTTGCCCAAAGCCTTGATTCTATTGCCAGCTATGAATAGGATTCCAGAGGCCCCACTTTCCTCTCCCCCTCCCTCTCATCATCCAAGATGAAACTGTCCTAAGGAAAAAGGGGGACTATTGTGAAGATATATGGAAATCCAGAGAAAAACATCATTGTTGAATTCCTGTATTTCTCATACCTTTTTCTTTACAATGAAGAGTCCCTTGCAATAATATAATTAAAACTAAAATGCCCAGCAAGCAAAGAGCAAAACAAAGCAGATTGAAGAAATCATTTTTGTATTTGGAAAAAAGTGCTGTGTTTACTCACAGCTTGATCAGTGCCAAATGGTGGGAATGAATTTCCAGTGGAAATCATTTACTCAGTTGGCAGAACCAACGCAACTAAAGCACAGATTAAATTAAACACTTCCCGGTGAGCAGATGGAGCCCACTTTCTCACCAGTGTAGAAAAAGGAATAAAATAATGGGGCATTTCTGATTCTGAACTTCCCCATCATCTCAACTGTTAAATCACTGGAGATAATTTTCCAAAGCACCACTTTCTTAAAAATCACTATTACCTCTTTGGGAGTAATTCTTTGAAAAATATTTCTGCTCTCCACAATCTCCCAATCCCTAAAATGCAGATGCAAGTGATCAGGTTCATTGAGGCACATGTGCTAGTGTACACAAGACCCTCAGTCATTGTTGTCATGACTCCTCTTAATTAGGACAGGCTCCATCAAGGACCTAGGGGTTGTATTAAGAAGATAGAGCTGACCTGCAGCCTAAAGTGGGAACCGGTGTTATTCGGACACATGTACCAACTGCATCACAGCCTTGGCATGTTACTGTGTGGGATCTGAAGATAAGCATGCTCTTCTGGAACTGGGCAGAGTAGAAGAGGCTGAGCTCCACCCCATACTGGACTTTTCCCACCAGCTATTGTTGAACACTCTCACTCTCCAAGACACATCTGTTTGCCATCTATAACTGGATAGTTAGCTGGACAGTTACTTTGCTGCTTTCTCTTAGACCCAGGAATCAAAAGCATCCAACATTCTAGAATGTTAGACTAGAATGCTCCCGTGACACTCATACTGATTTTATTACTGTGTAAGGAATACTTCAGAACTTTTGCCATTTATGCTAAATTTGTGTCCTTTTTCTACATCTGTTTTAGTCAGAATTTAAAAAAAAAACCAATAGAATAGATAATAAAAGAAAAGAAAGAGAGAAAGAGATTGATATTGAGGAGTCAACTCATGCAATTATATATGCTGGCTAGTCTAAAATCTGTAGGGCAGGTGGCAGGCTAGAGACCCAGGGGAGAGCTGATGTGCTGTCTGTGTCCAAAGGCAGTCTGCTCACAGAATTCCCTCTTCATCCAGGGTCATCAGGTTTGATTTGTTTTGTTTTGCTTGTTTTAACTAAGGGCTTCAACTGATTGGATGAGACCCATCCACATTATAAGGGATAATTTGTGCAAAATCTACCAATTAAAATGTTAATCTCATCTAAAAACTGCCTTCAGAGAAATATCTAGGATAATGTTTTGCCACATATCTGGGTACTATGGCCTAGCCACATTGATGCATAAAATAACCATCCCAACTTTCAACCCACAGTCTGATCAATGGTGGGCCAGGGCTGCGTTTCTTAAAGTTCTTTGCCAGTTTTTCATTCCTCTGAGACTTTTGCTCATCCTAAGCCTATAGCACTGAGAAGGAGTTGCTGCTATTCCTAGAGCTCCTGCTTGGCCACCTTCCCACACACACGTGCCCAAGCTCTGACCCTACCCAGAAAGTCTGACCTACCAAGTGCAAGATGGTTCTGTTAGACACCTACGTGGCCATGTCATACATTCATGTCCTCTACTGAATAAGTGGAAACGATTGAGCCAGATGAGTGGCATGGGAAAGTGGGATCTTTGCAAGAGTTTTGCCATGCGGTTTGAAGAGCTGTAAGTTACCTGCAGTAAGACACATTGCCCCACAAATGTGCAACCCAGCATAAATCTCAGAGCCAGATGTAAGGTGTTAGAGTGTCCACTAATGTCAATGTTAACATTTCCTTACTATAAAAATGTAAGATGAGTCTAGATGATTCCTTCTGATCATTTATTGTTGGGAGATTGAGAATTCTGAGGCCCTTTGTATCATTTAGCTTGAGCTTCTTAATGTAGAGGTGAGAAAACTGAGTCTGTCCCTGAATGTAAATGATTTGCTCAAAGCATCTCAACGTGGCCTGTGTTTTCTCATCATATGAAATCACAACTATCCAATCCTTACCCACCTCCTCTCTTTTGTAAACAGATCCATCATCAGCACTGAAAGTTAAAATCATCTTCTGGTATGTTTTGCCCATATCTGTAATCGTGTTTCTTTTTTCTGTGATTGGCTACTCCATCTACCGATATATCCACGTTGGCAAAGAGAAGCACCCAGCAAATCTGGTGAGTGCTTGGCATACCATGATCCAGGACAGAAATGGAAGCGCTAGTACAGATATAGTTCCTCCAAGGGCAGAATGGATTTGAAGTTAAAGAGTTTATGAGTTAAAAAGCACTTTTTATACTGGATTAGCTCATGAACATAACCAAAAATAAAGATTCCTTCACTTTGAAAAGATTTTATATTTAACAACTGGATTAGACAAAGTCCTGGGATGCACAGATAAAATTAAGTTATGATCCCTGTCCTCCTCGAGGTTCCAGTCTAATCAGGCTAGAATGTAATACATGAAGGTTAAGGTGAAATCAGGCCATGGAGACTCTGGAGGTACAGGGAGGCCCCCCCAACCCTCCATGTGGGGCCAATTCTCACGTCAGAGCTTGCGTATGCAGGGGAAGTTTGGACATTTACTGTAGGCAGAAGAGACAGCAGAGGAAAAGGGGGGAAGGGGCAGATGTGTGGGAAACCACGCCATATTGCTGAACCATAAGGTTCCTGATAAGGGGCTAGACTGAAGAGCTGGGGTCAGGCCTGGTAACGGGGAAATTGGGATGATATTCTAAAGAGCCTGAGCTCTAATCTGTTGGCAGAGAGAAATCACCACAGGGTTTTAAATTAAGAGTGTCATAGCCATCATTGTCTTTTAGATCTAACTGGATATTAGGATGACCTTAAAAGAAATAAGATTATAAAATAAGAAAAGCCACTAGGAGACTGGGACAATTGTCCAGGGAAGAAAAAAAGTAAAAACAAAAAAAGTGGGACGTGGAGCTACTGATTAAAAGATGGAATGGAAAAACACTTAGGAGCAATATGTCCAGGTCTTGATCACTGAAGGCCAGGAGAAGCAAGCAGGAGCAAGAAGGAATAAGCCCGATGTCCCCAGACTGTCTGCAGAAAGGTCCCCAAGGCCTGAGCAGCATTTGTTTCACATTAGAACTTATTTCCTTGGGAATTAGTAAAAGATGTGTTCAAACGTATGTGTACACAGCAAGAATACCTGTTCCTGGTAGTTCCATTTGTAGACTTTTCTGCTATTCTGCTGGCATTTAGGTTTCAGAGTTATTTCTTAAGGGAAGACCTTTCCTGGGAGGAAAATTCACAGGAGAATTGATGATGATTTTTTTTTTTTGAATACTGAATATTTGTAAAAGAATGAGGCTGAAGGTCCTTTTTTCTAATGTTAAATGAAATCATGTCTTGGGGTGATAATGAGAGTCATAACCTAACTTATCAACAACTGGTGCTTTCATAGGTAACAGATGCCTTCCACATATCCCACCAAAATTTTAATCTCAAATGACCTTCCCTGACACAATTTAGAAGTTCTCTAGCTACCATAAACTGGCAGGTCAATTTCCCTTTTTGGACTTATTCTACCATGATTCATGCATGGCGAGGAGGGAGGGACAGTGAGAAAAACCATTTCTACTCACATGCTTACATCCGTTCTACATCCAACATACCTTTCCACATGCCATGGCACCCTAGAAGACCCCCACTTATTATCAAATACATGGCATACTATAAATACCAAAGCAATTATACAAACTCTCAATTTTTACCACTTTTAATTAGGCAGAGATTCTAATTTTGCAGAATTAAAAAGTTCAAGAAATTCATCAACTCACCTGCAATCCCTCAACCTGTTAGAGGAGGGGACAGCCACACCCTGCGCCTCAAATTGGGTAAACGCCTACCTGCAAATGACAGTTCCTTCCATACATATTTTGTGTGTCTTGGGTCTCTTGGCTCCCAGAAAATGAGATTTTTCTGTATATTCTGAGCATAACTTCCCTGAGTTGGTGAGAGTAGGTTTTTCAAACTGATGACACTATAAATTCTAGTTAACAGCTGTTTTTAATGTTTCTTCTAAAGTGAAAAGGTGAAAATCATTCTCTTCTCTCTTTATAGATTTTGCTTTATGGAAATGAATTTGACAAAAGGTTCTTTGTGCCTGCTGAAAAAATCATGATTAACTTTATCACCCTCAGTCTTTTGGATGATTCTAAAATTCCTCAGAAGGATATGAGTTTACTAGAGAGAAGTAGGGACGGATCCAACCTTAATGATGCTGAGTCCCTCGGGGACCCAGAGCCCCATCCAGAGGAAGTGGAGACCATACACCTAGGTTATGCTTCCCATTTGATGGAAATTTTCTGTGACTCCGAGGAGAACACCAAAGGAACTTCTCTAACCCAGCAAGAGTCATCCCGCAGAACAATCGCCACAGGTAAAGCAGTTGTGGAATATGAGTATGACGTAACAACTGGCATCTGCAGGGGCCCTGAAGATGAAGAGCTCTGTGTGCAGGAATTGGTGTCCACACAAGGAAAATTAGTTGAGCAACAAGCAGCTTTGGCCAACTTGGGCCCACAAATGTTACTGGGTTCCTATACCCCTCGGCTCAGCGACTTGCTTCACCTGGAACTCCAGCAAACAGGCTCAGAAGAGGGGCTAGAGGAAGAGCCATCCACAACACTGGTGGATTGGGACCCTCAGACGGGCAGGCTGTGTATACCTTCATTATCTACCTTTGACCAGGACTCCCAGGGCTGTGAGCATCATGAGCCTGACCAACTCTCAGAGGAGGGCCTTTTGTCTAGACTCTATGAGAAACAGGCACCAGGCAAGCCACCAGAAGAGAATGAAAACTATCTCAAGCAATTTATGGAGGAATGGGGATTGTATGTACAAATGGAAAACTAACCCAAGACTTCCCTACCATGACTCAGTGCAAACAAACGAGGGACCCAACAATAAAGAACCTGGACTACAAGTAGTGTATTCAGATTCATCGGGGTCAGCAAGAACGAGTTATTTCTTCTTCCTGTTCTCCTTTGCACTTGTTTGGTCCTGCCTCCTGTGGGTGTCTGGCTCACACATGTGGGTCTCTTGCATGTGCCCCTGGGGTACAGGGACTGGCCACTGCTCTAGGCAGAGTGAGCATTCAGTGAATGTTTCCCATGTTGGGTGCAGAACTTATTCAGGAGGGTGCACTGAGGCCACTTTGTGTATTAGGTTCTAACAAGCATGCTTCTCCAGTTTTCTTCTGGGCATTTACCACGTGCATGTAATGCTATAAAGATAGTTCATAAAGGCCATTCATGTTACAATGCTACCTTTCTAGAACATTTTGATTTTGAGGATGAGATACTTGAAAAATATACAAAAAAAAAAAAAAAATAGGTCAGTGGTACGTAAGTTGGTCACATGTTAAAGACCAACCCACTCTTCATTCATAATAATCCAGGCTTAGAGGGAGTAATCCAGCACAAACCTCCATGATGTTACTTGCTTTTGTCTACCCTAAGAGGAGATACCCTAAGTTCTGGAACATGAACATAAATAATTATTCTTTTGTAACAGAAAAATGCCCCTTCAGTCATTCAGTAGGGGCTTTTTGTTGTCCCTCAAAACTAACCCAAACAAAATTGCCACATTTTATAATAGACTATTACATTTATTTCTGGAAATGTGTTGTTAAAAAGATATTTACATAATCTGTAAACCAGGGGGTCCCAGAAGCTGGAATACTATGTTACTCTTTTATGTCAAGTATTTTCAAGTGCCTGGCAGACTCTTTGGAGTATATGTGAGTGAATATCCTCTGTCTGCATAATATTAAAATCAGTAAATAAACACAGGTCATAAGAAAAGATAATTTAATGAACTTGGAAAGGAGAGTTTATTAACATTTGACATAATTTACTGTGGGAACTAAAATGTACCATGAAATAACACCTTCCTGGTTAAATTCCAGTAACTATCTCCATGTCCTTTTCCAATTGTTTAGACAATTCTACAGTCATACTGCATTAAAATGTGACAGAATTTATAAAGTGGAACCATATAAAATGATTGGTATTTAGTTGTTTGAGATCTGTGTAAACAGCAATTACATATGGCCTACCTTAATATATATTTGTTTTAATCATGAACTCATAATTCACTGATGCTGTTTCAGAAAAACAGATACTATCCATATTTCCTCATCATGTTTTTAACAAAGGCAGACAACACTGGTAGGAGAGATGGATTTGGGGGTCATGGTCTTTTATGATTGTCCACAAATCCAAACAGTTTATGATCTAATGGTTTAATTTACAGCATAATTATATTAACCAGAGTGTTCTGTTCTAACTATATTTGTAGAAATGATTCTGTTGTTTTGAAGAGCAAAATTTCAACATGAACTATAAAAAAAAGTTCAGGAGTGCAAGAGAATGAGTTGTTATTAAGGCAAAAAATATAATTGATAATAGTTTGGCTTGTTCATTTCATTAACAAAATATTTATTGAGCATCTACTATATCTTTCCATACCCTCATCTGTGAAATAAAAATAACAACCTCCTTTGAGTTGCTTTGAAAAGAGACTATAGAAGCCACTTACAGCAGTGCCTGGCACATAAAGGTGCTCTGTAAGCGTTTGTTATCATCACTATTCACTGCCAGATCATACGCTTTGTACTGGAAAGAGAAGCCATTTAGACATAAGACTATTTTGATTCAAAAGCAGTCCTTGCCTCTCTTTATTTTTCTGACCTGACAGTACTATAGTATATTGCTTCCTGCTCTATGCCTTCAGATTCAAATCCCTCAGGGGTTAAACCACATTTTCTGGCTTTTGAAAAGGGAATCTAATTCTGAGTTGCTTTTCCATCTCTTGTCATTCTAGGCATGCCAGAAGTACTGAGCTTTTCTCTAATTTTGCTGCTTCAGTACTTTACAACATACATGTATACACAGGTGGTCCCTGGCTTAATGATGATTCAACTTGATGATTTTTCAGCTTTTCCATGGTGCAAAAGCCATACACATTATGAAGAAACCTTACTTCAAATTTTGCATTTTAATCTTTTCCTGGGCTAGCAATATGGGTTATGATCCTCTCTGCACCAAGCCACAGCTGCGAGTCAGTTATGGGATCCCAGAGGCAACAAGGGACGCTGTGGTGGCCTGCCTCACTGTATGTGTAGGTTACCATGACATGGGTGAGTGTTCCCCAAAGTCCATACGTTAAAGCCTTGTTGTACAGGGTGGCACTGTTAGGAGGTAGGAGGTTCTTAGCTCATTGGGGATGTGCCCTGAAGGACCTGGCTTGTATTGGGAACGCTGGTCCCACATACACTCCCATCATGATGTACCATCCCTGCCAGAGACCCAAATCCACCCAATCTTGGGCTTAAGTCTCCAGAATTGTGAGCCAGAATAAACCTCTCTTTACTTCATAAGAAGCCTGTGTATTTTGTTATAGTGATATGAAGCTGACTGACACAATTTATTAAATGCATTTTTTACTTATGTGTTCAATTTATAACACGTGTATCAGAATATAACTCCATCATTAGTTGAGGCACATCTGTATGCTCAAACTCGAGTACATGATAGATATTTCTTGTGGGGAAGGGTTACATCTTCTCAGATGTAGACAGCTGTCATGCATCCTGTCTTCTGTGGCCAGACCTCTCCACTGCCTCTGGGACCTCATAAGATTCCATCTCTAGGCCTGAGGTTCAAGTGTAGCTGTGATATTGAAGTGTCAGTGACTTTGACAAGTCAAGTATACTCATCCTGCCTCTAGGCACCCCTCAATTCTAGAGCTTTACATGGTCCTTCCACATCAGATTGATTTTCCTTGTGACAACATGTCTTAGTGACTATTTCCATACCCTATAAATCCTAAACAACTAGGAAACAAAACTGAGTGTCATAAGGGTAGAAAGAAAGCAAAGTGAGCTTGTCACCTCAGGCTGTAAAATGAGAAAGATCTAGTGCCCTGGGCTGAGCTCAGCTCCAAAAAAAAAATCAGTACAGCAAGGAAAAACTATTCGTACAGCCCAGAGCACAAGCCTGCCCAGGGTGATGAATCTAATGAGAACATTAAACAGAGGGCTTGATCATCATGGATGGGTGCACCTGGGTCATAAATCAAATTCCTTCTGGCCCACACATTACCACCCCCACATCTTGCAGATGAGTTTAGGCTAAATTAACCTAGAATTGTTTTTCTTGATTTTCTTTTTGTTCCCCACGTTGTATCAACCATAAATCTTCCATCTACATTTTTTTTCAAAGATTGCTCAAAAACATGTGCCTATAGTTTTACAATAAATAATGCTATGGCTGTGGGTATTTTAATAGTAGTTTTTATTTTTTATTATTGAAGATGTATATTCTAGGGGCTGGGGATGTGGCTCAAGCATAGTGCGCTTGCCTGGCATGCACGCAGCGCTGGGTTCGATCCTCAGCACCACATACAAATAAAGATGTTGTGTCCGCCAAAAACTAAAAAATAAATATTAACAAATTCATTCTCTCTCTCTCTCTTTAAAAAAAGATGTATATTCTATATTCTAAAATTTATATGTATAATATATGCATGTTATACACATGTTTGTTTATATGTTAGAATAACAAGAAATAAGTGGAGAAGAAAAGGAAAATTATCTATAATATTTCCAATTTTGTCTCTCCTGGGACATTTGGCAGTGTCTGGAGACATTTCTTTTTTTGTTATTGTTGCTGTTTTGTGTTGTTTTGTGAGACAAGATCTCACTATGTTGCCTAGGCTAGTATCAAACTTGTGAGTTCAAGTGATCCTCTCGCCCCAACCTCCCATGTAGTTGGGACTGCAGGTGCACCCCCCGAAACACAAGTCTTAGAGACATGTTTTATTGTCATGGCTCAGGGGGAAAGTGTAGCTTCTAATGGGGAGAGGCTGAGAATGTTACTGAATATCATACAATATACAGAACAGCCCCTCTGCTCTGTGTGATCAAGAATTACGTGGCCTAAAATGTCAATAGTACCAAGGTGAATAAACCCTAGTTTAGAACTTTTCAGACACTTCTTGTTGCATTGCATATATTTTTCCATAAAAGGAGGATTATATTGAAATCTTTTATAACTTACTCCTTTCATTCAAAAATACTTAACAATCTTAACTCTAGATTAAAGTTTATAATGCACTAATCTTATTCAAACTTGAACTTTTGAAGCAGCACATTAGGAATGATTTTCTCTAAACATAATGCTCTTAGAATTTTTTTACTGAAACAGTGACCACACATTGGAGCTATTAAGACTCCTTTACAGATACTATAGGGATTCATCTTGACATGACCGTAGCCATCTTGAGTCATAACTGCTGTGATGGCCCTACTAGGTTTTCCCACATAGTTTTCCAGCATACTGTAAATAAGCTAAAGCATTAGAGTGGTCTATGGAGCTTGGATGAAGTCACTTTCATCTCAACCACATTATAAGCCCCCTACTTCTGGTTCAAATTGTGGGGATCCCCTGGTCTTGCTGCCACCTGGGACTTCATTTCTGTCCATAAGATGCCAATAAATTGCACTCTGAGCAACCCTGGATCTGTCTGCCTCTTCCTCCAGTTTCATTGTACCTTGGGGCCTGTGTTGTTCCAGAACAGATACTATGAGTCTGTTAAAGATAACTAAATCTTGGGCTGGGGATATAGCTCAGTTGGTAGAGTGCTTACCTCGTATGCACAAGGCCCTGGGTTCATTGCCCAGCACCACAAAAAACTTTCAACAACATTATTTCCTGAAAATCACTACATGCAGGACTTCAGACCCTCATTGACAGAGGCTTTGCAGCCCAGTCCTGTTACCATTTCAGCAAGACCCATGTTTCTTCTGGCTCCTTGCCTGTGGCACCTGCAAGATTTTAATCCTACTTTGC